GCGGGGACGATTTCCTTGCTGTCCATGTCAAGAATGAGCCATCCTTTGTGCTCGTGACTGAGCCCCAAATGAACTCCCCAGCGCGCGCGATGAACGAATTTGCCGATTGTTGCCGAGGTCGGACGGTATTGCACCATGCACCCCCAGACCCTGAGCATGGAGGGGTCTCCCCTTGAGCCGGTCCACTTCATGTGAGGGGACAGGTTGTCTCTGTTGGCGGTGGTGGAGAGGAGGTTGTGCAGGCGCACCGCGTGGTTCATGGCGTAGGGCCAAAACTTCTTGGGCAGGCCGGACTGGTTCATGAGGGCGCGGACCTTGGTCATGAGCGTGCGATTGACCCTCTCGGCGACGCCTTGCTGCTGATGGGCATAGGGGAGAGAAATCTCATGCTTAATCCCCTTCTCGGTGAGGACGCTCTCCAGCTCGTTGCTGCGAAATTCTTTTGCCCCATCACTCTGCCACACCTTCAGTTTCCTCCCCGACTGTCGCTGCGTGTGCGCGAGGAAGATGCGGAACACCTCCGGAGCCTTGGAGCGGGCGTCTACGTTGGCGATCCACACGTGGCGTGAGTAGGCGTCGATGAAGGTTAGAGTATACTTTTCGCCGTTGATGCCGTCGTGGGTGAGTACAATGAAATCGCTGTATACCTTCTCCAACTTTTTGTAGCGATTGGTGCTCGGCTCCAGGGAGGGGTAGGCGCTGTGGGTAAGCGCAGCAGTGGGGCAGACAGTGCAGGTGACTGGGTGAGGGGTGGTGTGCTGTAGTTCTGTTCCGTCGGGGCGGAGCAGTGCTCCTGGTGGGAAGACCTTAGCGCGGAGGCAGTTGGCGAGTGTCTGGCGCGAGGGATGACCCATGCGCTGGTGCCAGAGGTCATCTTCGGCGCGAATGCCGGAGGTGCGCTTGTAGCGGGTGTGGTACTCCGCTGCCTCTTCCGTCGTGAATTCTGGAATCTGGAGTGGGGGTTCTTCCTCTTCTCCTAGTTCTGCTTCGTTGTCTGGCTCCTCTGCTTCTGCTTCTGCCGTTGCCTCCCCAACTGCAGGTGCCGTTGTAAGATACAGGGCGAGGAATTCGCGGTCAGGGATGATGGTGAGCGGAGTCGTGGTACCTTCGATGAAGCGAGCAAACGGATCTGGGCGAGAGATTGGACCAAGCGAATCCCGTAGAGGAGTTGGCGGTACGTTCCCCTCCTCAATCTCCGACCAACGATCGCGCCATCGAGGAGGCGAGGAAGGAGGTGAGCGGGTGCGCGGAGGACGTCCGAGTGGAATGGCGACGCGAGGGGATGGTTCTCCACGCTCAGCTTGCATTTCACGTTCCATCTCTTCTTCGTCTTCCTTTGTGATTGGCGCATCCACGTATTCATTTCCCCATCCGTCATCGTTGCCCCATCCTCCGGTTGTGACTGCGCCGCTGGCGCTAGCTCCCCATGCTCCAGTGGCGGATCCCCAGGTTGCTCCATCGCCTTCTTCTGGTACGTAATCCTCTTCTCCCCATGCACCACGACGTGCAGACTCTTCGTCCCATCCTGCCGCGACTCGCTCCTCATACAACTTTTGTTTCTTTTTCGCCCGGGCCTTGTCCTGTTCTTCTTTGACGCTCAGTTCTTCTGGTGCGTCAGGATCTTTCCAAGCTGGATCAATTTCGCGACGGTAGACCTCGCGGGTGTATGGGCGCGGACGTTCTTCTTCGTCGAGGGTGCGCGCGTTGGCTTCGAGGACGAACCGTAGGGTGTCCGAGTAAGGCCTTGGTCTTTCCTCTTGTTCTTGTCCAAATTTCTTGCTCGGCTCTCCGAAGATGCGGTGTGATGACACGGCTAGTTCTTCTTCAGTCATGCCTGCGATTTCTGCCTCGGCGCTTTCTGCTTCCTGAATTGCCGCTTGCTCTCTTTCAACTTGCTCCGTGCGGCTCGCGGTGGGCGTGTGGCAGGTGGTACAAAGACCGTTGATATCAGGGTCGTGCAGGTTGATCTCGCGGGGATGAGGACTGCGGCGAACCCAAGGTCGTCCGTCCGGGTGCTCCCAGGATTCCTTGTTCATGAAGGCAAACTCGAGAGGGACGAGATCCACCAGCTCGTCCGAAGACAACTGACAGGGAGGGACGTCGAAGTCCAAGATGTAGATTCCGTTGATTGAGCGGGCTCGTCCGAGGTATTTGAACGACTCGGAGGGTGTGTCCGGGGGAGCGTAGGTGAGAATGAGATCGCGCGTGGCAAGATCCGTGTGTATTATGACGCCACAGTCGCGGAGTTGTCCAGCCGAAAGCATATTAAAGCGAAGATTCGGGACGTAGAGCACGTCGTTGAAGGAGATGTGAGTGTTGCTGTCCCGTGCCTGCAGGATGACAATGCCTTGTGAGCTGGCACGCAGCTGCTCGTTGTTGGCGACGGTAACGTAGGTTGGGGGGGCGCGGCTGAGGTTCGAGACATAGCGCGTGGATCCCACCATGTGTTGTCCGTAGCAGCTGTCCAGGTACCAGGTGTTGTAGTTGTCGGTGTTGTTTCTACGCAGAAGGAGCGCCAATCGCGGAGTCACCAGAGTCGCCTTGTAGCGCCTGTGAAAGTGAGGGTCTTCGTCCTCCTTCCATCCCACCGGTACGTAGTGCTGGTTGTCGTGAGGCGGACTCTCCCGCAGTGTGATCGGCAGGTTCCAATCCTGCTCGTCTTCATCGTACCGATAATAATGATCTTCAGTGAGGGGATTATTCCATCCCTCTTTTGGTTCCAGAAGTCTTCCTTGGACTTCGTCCTCTTCGTCGGGCTCATCAGTGCGACGTCGGCGCGTCGTCATGTTGGCGATGATGTTCCTGGGAGCTCCTGACTGGGGTCCCTGAGTTTGCTGATGTTGATGTTGCTGTTGAGCAGGGAGACGAGGTGTCTGATGCTGAGGATGACGAGCATCTTGTCGGCCGACCCAATTGTTTTGGTGAGTGGAATTTGGGTGGCGATTGTTGGATCGGGACTTGCATCGATCCGTTGAATGTCCGAAGACTTTGCATATTTTGCAATAGTGGCGCCTTGGTTGTCGTCGCTCTTCACGGTTGTCAGCGTAGAAGGCGAGGCACTCTCGGCACGGCGCGGAGCTTGTTCTGCTCGAGTCCATGTCCTGTTGTTCGGACAGGAGTGCGGCGCATAGCGCGGCTTCTGAAATTATCCCTCGCTGTCGGAGTAGCGCTTTACAGGGCTTCCACTCTGGCCCGAGTCCTTGGAGGACTATGTTGACGAAGATCTCTTCTGAGATCGTACTCCCATGCTTCGTGATCTGGTCACGGATGTTGCGACAGCGGTTAATGTACGGATTCGCTTTCTCCCCGTGCCCCATTTTTATCTCCAGGAGTTGCTGCAGAAGCCTGCTGGCGGTGACCGAATCCTTCGGCTGATAGACTTCAACAAGATGCTTCCAGGCTTCCAAGGCTGGAGCGTCGCTCTCTTTGTAGGAGCGGATGTTGAGTTGTTCCGCAGGCGTCATATTGCGTAGCAGCACACTGTAGGCCATGAGGGAATCACTGTAGTATTGAGCCCTGGCGACTTCGGTGTTTTCCATCGGTTTAGGATAGGAGCCGTCGAAGTAATGGTAGATCTGCGCTGTCTGTAGGAGGAGCTCAAGCTCAAAACTCCATGTATAAAAATCCTTGCCGTCAAACGCGGCAGTAGTCTTGATCTTTGAAACGCTAAGGAAGCGTGCTTGCGCAGAGTTGATAGCTTCATCACTTGGACGGGGGGCAGTTGTTGCTGATTTGTCTGTGTCGAGGGTGAAGGTGTGCGCGGCGGTATCACGGCTTTTCTCAGCCGGTTGTCCAGGTTGTGCTGGTTGGGAAGTGGTTCCCGCATCGCCTTTGCGCAGGTCTTGGAGTTCTTTCTCCATAGTTGAAAGTCGAGCGAAGAGTTGCTCGAGGGCGGCAGTGCCGATCGTGGTTGTCGCCTCATTTTTCGCAGCCGGGTTGGTTTGTCCTTCAGCCGTCAGATTTGCTTGGCCTCCGGATCCTCCGGCCATCTTGGTCTTGGAGCGTGTGCCGCTCGCCAGATCTTGGTTCGGCGAATTTCACGGAAGTGAAGTTGCGAAGAATCCCTGAGTAGCTCTCATACCATGTTACAATCCTAAAAAGGACTTAGCGAAGGATCGCTCAGGGTTGATCGCAGAGTAGTGTTGCAGCGGAAGTTTGAATCTCAGGTCAGAGTGAATGTAAATGACTGAGTTGATAATAGCATGCATACATCGAGTTTATATAAGAATACAGGGGAATACGAAAAGACCTAGACTAGCCATGTACTCTAAGGGGTACATTCCCTTATTACAACCGAATTCAAACCGTGCGGCGCGGGAACCCGTTTCAAACCTGTTCCCGCTCATTTCACTTCAAATGTTTCTGCCAGCATCGGTCTTGGTCAGACGGTTGCTGCGTCGCTTCGACTCTTCTGACTCCTCGACTTCGTACTCGGTAGAGTCGGCTCCTGCAGCATACAGGAATGCCTTCTCATAAAGTTTCATATCGTAACACAACACACATACTCAGTGCCACCCCCACTGCCTACATCTTCTTCTACAAACTGGGTCTGCGAAGCTCTGGTGGGGTCAAACTCTTTGGTGGATCGCCTCAGCTTCTCTCCGCGAAAGATGGCGACCACATCAGACCAGTCGACCTCGTACCGCAGCAGGGAGCAACGCATCAGGTGCTCCAGGCTTGTGTCGCCAAGGCTGCCGCGTCCCCAAGTCTTGATCAGATTCTGCTTGGAGAAGCCGCGCTCGCATTCAACCGTGCTCAATGGCAGCACGGCTACTGACTGCCACATGCGCATGATGTTCGGGAAGGAGACACGCCATGCATCATCCCGCAACATGTTGGTCAGCGCCTGGTGGAACTCTTCGTTGTTGTGCTGGGAGAACATTGTGGATGTAAACATCCACAGCTCCTGCTGGGCTCTCTTGTAGTCAAACCCTGTGGGTGGGGGGGGTTGGGGTGAAAGCTTGGCCGATGCTCGCAGACACGGGTAGGAATGGGGGGCATTAGTCCAACAAGCATCGGACAGCAGTACGTGCACGGGTCATCCTCAAATCAGAATTCGTTGCGACAACACACGTCATAAGATTTGCTATCGCCACACAAGGCTTACATGGCAGCTTGTTGTGGTACAACTTGTGCAGCTGGCCGAGCCACTTCTTGAAAGTTTCCACGCGCTTCGTGTCGTCGGACACGTACGAAGCTGTGCGAAACAGCTTCGCACCTTCCAGCAGCTGCAGGTCGCGCATCCGCCACTCCAGCTCTTTGTCAATGGCGCGCACATACTTGATCAACAGCTCGACGCACGCCGTGACATCGCCATCCGTTTCATGTCCTGGCAGCGGGCGCTCGTGCAGCGTGAATTCAAACTTGACGGGATTCCCGTCCCCGTCTACGCCCTCCGCCTTCATCTCGCGCTTATCCTTCGCCTGGTGCCTCTGAATGAACTCGGGAAGCTGCATTTTCTCCCCGCTGCCGAAATGGTGGGAAGGGTCGCGGAGGGAAAACCGCGTCTTCAGACGCAACCTTATCTGCTGCACGATGTGCGCAACAAGGGTAACGTCCACCTGCACAAGGGCATGACAAGGAGTCAGGTAGTGCACGTGATGGCTTGCGACAACATAAACGACAACGACAGAGGCGCTTACCTGCCGCTGCTGGAAGCGCTGGTTGAGGCAGTTAAGTTCCCAAAGCACATCCGCAAGAAAGCGGATGAGCCAGTGGAACTTGAACGAGGTAACCACCTCGTACAGTTCCGCCTTGTAATCCTTCAACACCACTACGGCCGCAGGGAGCACGTCGAGCAGGCGCTGGATCGCTTCACCACGGGCGAGCCCGCGGGTATCGCTAATCCCCTGCGCCTCTAGATTCGTCTGGCAGAAGATCCGCTGCATCTCTTGAAACTTCTGGTAGTCCACGCTGCTGCGGCCGATGTGGTCAGCGAAGGCGCGCACGACATCGTCAATCATTAGCAGCTCAGGTACCTCTTCAGCAGCATCACTAGCAGCGAGTGCCTCGCTGTACATAAAGGCACATGGACAGAGGGCACGTCAATAGCAAGTCATGTAGTGACGGCAGCACGGAGCACACAACAGTGACGCGTACCCGTGAGCGATACAATGTGTTGACGCCAGATGCGGAATGCGCATTCGCAGCCGTGTCACGACTCCTCTGTTCTTGCCGACCATCACGCTGGCACCATCAGAGGCGACGCTGGAGATATTCTGGAGGTCGACCCCGATACCTGTGAGATACTGCACGACAGCCGATGTGAGTGAGGCACCGTCAGCACGGTCAACAGTAATGAGTGTTAAGAACTCTGTAACCACCGTGGTGCGCTGGAAGAACGTGGCGTAAAGAATGAGGTGCTTCCCATGCACCCGGTCCGTGCTCTCGTCGAGGGAAATCCCTATCCACGGGGATTCAAGCAGGTGCACACGTTGTGTCTCTTGAAGGTATGTTGAGAGTGCGCGCATGTTTTCCTTGAATCCGTAACTGCCAGGGGAAAACACAGGTCGTCAAATCTCACAGTGCATAACACAGAATACACCAGGTTCACCAACGCTTGCCACCACTTACTCTGTGTAGTACGCGCCGTAGCCGCCAGCGGGAGGAAGGTCTGGTAAACCCTCCTTCGCCAGAGAACCAGCACAGCGGGACGAACATCGCTATGGGTGCGTCCGCCTTGCAGACGAAGAGCGCGATGTGGAGGAGCCGAATGATGTGACGGGTGGAAGCGTCCGTGATCTGCCACCGAGTGAGTGTGGCCTGCTTCGCCTTCTCCGCCTCCGCCTTCTCTTGATTCTCCACCGCGTTCTTGTGTGCACGGGTCGAGGAGTGAGTACGGATGCTGCCGATCTGGAGATCCCGAGTACCCTCACCCTTCGCCCCATATGCGGTGTGCGCTAGTGGATCTCCGTGCTTCACACAAATGGCACACTTCAAAGACGGACGTCCGTTAGACATGCGGAGCAAACGCAACCACTTGAAACTACCTGCCCACTGACCCTCAAACGTCTTCTTCACCGACTCGTACTCAGCATCCGCCAGAGCGGTGGGTGGCTTCGGATCGACCGAAGGAGCATGGAACTTGTGTGAAGTAGCGTTTCGGGGAGGAGGGGCGCCCCAGAGCGTCTGCTGCTTGTACGTAGTTCCCTCATGCGGTCGCTTGACGGGCGCGGTGCTGACAGTCGAAGGCGAAGCAGTAGGCGGCTTTGACGAGCCCTCGCCACCTCCGGGAACTAATTCTATGTCAGGATGTGGCTCCCACGCCGTGGGTGAGTTTGGCGGCTCGAACGGATAAACCGTTCCTACCACACACTCTGGTGACGGCTCACGAGGCGGCGACTGTGCGACGGGCACGGCGTAGTTCTCGCTAAGGCGTGGTAAAACGCCCAGCACGGAGAGGTCGTTTCTCGCGCCATCAGGTGGATCGGGCTCTCCTGTGGGCATTGTAGAGTTGAAAGTTGAGAAAGGTTGAGAATGAGGGCCAAGCGAGAGACCCCCTTGTAGAGAACGACCCTCTGGCAGCCTCGAAAGGGTCGTTTCTTCCACGGGGCGGGAAGTGTATGGCCAGCAAGGCAGGACTGGGCCTGCAAGTTGTTGTTAAGGACAGCTTGAAGCTGTCCTTGACAGCCAATTCTGCTGTGATGGCGGTGGGCGTGTTGACAAGTGGCGAGATTCAAGAATGTGTCGGCAGTCCTGCGCGTGCTCACAATCGACAACGGGTGTTAGTGGGGGTGTTGTACGTTTTGTCACCACGCGGACTATGGTCTGGTTCGCGTTAGAAAAGATTCGGTAAAAGGGTAGTGTACACCAAACCCTGATTTTGTCAGGGTAACCTAAAAACCTATCAGGGTAAAATAAAACATGCTCTTTTACGAGAAGGGTAACTATTGTGCAATCCTGATTTTGGCAGGGTAATCCTGAAAAAGCGGCCGGCCCCCAGGGTAATCAGGGCGTTTTACCCTGATATTTTGGGCCCTGGCCCCACTACAGCCTACAGAGAACAAAGGCAATTTGACACTAAAATCAATCGCGCGCCCTTTGTCGGACGCCATGACGATGGCTAGCTGGGTCTGGTCGACAGCTGTGCTGAGTAGCGCGCTGATGAAGGATCGCATGTTGGTGGACCTTACGAGCCAGACTACAGCGGCGTTGTGAAATTGCTCTCTCAGCATGCCGAGCACAAGACATGTTTGTGCAGTATAATGGCCTTGTGATGGGCAAGGAGGCGATGCGTTCAAGGCAAACTAAAGGAGCCTAGGACGAGCCATCTTGCCTAAAGCATGGAGGGGATAAATCCGTGCATGCATGGTCGAAACAGGTCTGTTGGCATTGTTGGGTGAACGAGAGCCCATCCATTCCTGACACCAAGTTGTCAAGGCCCGTCTCTTTCACACATTAGATGTAAAATACAATTGAAGCAGGAGACCCCGAACCTTAATTTCATTCAATCTGCCGCCTAATCTCTTCATGGGTTTTAATTAGCACTCTAGAGTGGCTTACAGTATCCAGGATATTACAGTATATTGAATGAGGACCCAATGCCTTAGTGGCCACCAGTCCCACACATGGCGGGCAGGGCAGGGAACAAAAAACAAACAATTGAAGTGAAAACCCCATACTAGCATAAGCAACAACAGCATAAGAGTCACGTCGAAAAGTGGTACGTACACCTACACTCCACCAGGCATCCTCGTGCCTACATTCCACAACAGAGATTTCGGGCTAAGGAGAACTTAGTTGGTGTTGACGAGGCATGCCTGAATCAACTGCTGTGCTGCTGATACCTGATGCAAGCGATGGCATGAACAGGAGTGGATATGGATAGCAGAAAGACATATGGAAAGTGATGAGAAACAAAGGGTTGAGAACTAACAAGGAGAGGCCAATGATGGAACCGGGACATGTTAAAAACAAGTTAGCCACATGGTATGAAATGTTCCCTTGAGGGCGCGCGCGCGCGCACGCTGCACGCGCGCACGCACGCACGCACGCACGCACGCACGCACGCACGCACGCACGCACGCACGCACGCACGCACGCACGCACGCACGCACGCACGCACACACACACACACACACCAACAATCCGCAGGAAATTTGTTGAAATTGACAAAATCTGACCTGTGCTTGCGTGCCCTGGATTTCAATAAGCCGGTCACTTGTGTCTCCCGCCTTCAACTGCACACCACCAAACCGCACCATAGCACGCAGCAGCAGAAATAAAGTCATGTGATGATCAAAACGGTGAATGGTGATCACATATACGCGGTTGTATTTCTAAGCCACCAGGCACCAATCGCCACTCTGGGAAAAACAAGTACAGCAGCAAAACGTTCACACTGATTCTTGATCTCATGCGCGCGGCTCAGACAATAGGTGGGGAAAGAGAGAGGAGACGAGAACGGGGTGAGAGGGCGGTGGGAGGGAGGGGGGGAGGGAGACAAGAGAGAACGAGGGAGAGGGAGCGAGAGAAAACAAATATAGAGAGGAGGGGGATGGCGGGGAGGGGAGGGAGAGTGACAGAACAAAAAGAAAGGTGTGGCGAAGGAGAAAGTGAGAGAGAGAGAAGGAACACACACGAGGGGGCTTGAAGGGATCAGAAAGGAGACAAGAAGCAAAGCAATTATTGGCAAGAGAGGTGAGGTACCGTCACCCAAAAAGCGGCACACGCACAAAAGCGGCGGCACAGGCACACACGCGCGCACCTTGGCAACGCGGACGATGGCACCGGAGATGTTGCGGATGTTCTTGATGGTGTGCCCGCCGTGCCCCAGCACTGCACCGATGGAGCCGCTGCCGATGCGCACCTCCGCGCGCACCTTGGCCTCGTCCTGCGACGCGCCTATCGGCACCACTGGCGGCTCGTCCTGCGTCCTGCGCCGCTTTGCTGTTGCATGGTTTCCAAATTGGACGCGCGAACGGGGGAGCGAAGGGAAGGGCGAGTT